GAGATAGAGAGAGAGAGAGAGAGAGAGAGAGAGAGAGAGAGAACATGTATATATATATATAAAAAAGAACCTCTGGTATCTGACAAAACAATGCATCCAGACTTCTTAGCTTCTCCCATTCAATACTAAAGACAGAATAAGAGGAAGCCACTTTGTATGGGCTGTTGTCCTCAGTATGTGGAACTCGGGAAACAGAAGCTGCCTATCTACGAAGCTTTTTGTTTTTGCTTTCACCTCACAGTGAGACGAAGATTTCTTAAAAGCAGCCAAAAGTAGGTATCTTACTGTCTTCTGTTTCTCTCCAAGTCAATTCAAATCACCTAAGTGTCCACCACAAGATACAGAATGCTATTAACTATCAAGGAACCCTGTGCAACTGGCATGAACACACCCAACAGCAGACAAACTGGGGGAGTGGAGGTGGTGGGGCTCCAGACTCCCATACCCCATTACTTACCGCAGCGCTAGTGTAGTCCCCCGTGGCCAGGGAGCCAGCAGAGCTCATTTCCGCAATGAGCAGGCAGCCCCGGTGCAGAGGTAGACCCACTTCCTGCAGGCCCTTCACAACTCCTGAGCCTGGCACTACATGGGCATTTACTACATCTGCCCAGGACGCTATTTTAAAGACACCACCTGAGAATGAGGGAAAAAATATTTGCTGATTCTCAAAACTCTCTATCCTTCTGCCCAACTACCCAGTTACAGTAGGAACAAGCCCCTAGTTACATGCTAATAAAGGGGTCCAACAAGCCACAAGCTTTGGTGGCATCAGTGCATCTGCAGTTCATCTGTGGAACTTCTCTGTCCCCCCAGTAGCTCAGTGAGAGATCACAGAAAAAATGCAATTTCTGCATTTTGTGTATTGGCAGCACTGAGGAGACTGCTTTACTTAGTGGTTAGAAGCCTGAGACCATCCAGAAAGCTCATGCCATTAGAAATGGTACTCCTCTGAAGATGGGTGTTTACTGAGGTCAAGGACAGTGACATCCTGACTTTCCTCTTGCAGATGACAAACTTTGACCCTGCAGGGCTCTCAGCAACTTTATTCTGTTTCTGTGTTCCTTATTCAAATTTCAATAGCAACTATATACATACATTTTAAAAGCCTACAGTAAAAACCTGAACTGATTTTTGAAGAAACTACAATCAACCTAAACAAAGGTTGTGCAACTCTTACTTCAGTCAAAGAACTAAGCTAAGCGATGACAGTGGTGTGACACCTTAAGCACATGAAGACAGTCACTGATAGACAGTCATATTTGAAACGCTCTGTGGATCTGCATGCATTCCTTTAAGAAAAATTAAGTCACCTCAAAGATGCTTACAGTAAGTATCCAATAACATGACAGGTATTTATGTTTCAAGGTTAACTGAAAAAAAGCATTAAATATGCACAGTGGTAAAACCAGAAATTTTCACAAAAGGATGGGTAGTAGAACCAAACATTTTCCCCAACCAACACAAGTACTATTTTTGAGTCCCCATTTGCTACTAAAACACAACTTTTAAGAAAGGTGTAACCATAAATCTTTTTCTGCTGCAAAATGTTTTACTGTGTTTTCATTATTTCTTATATCAGTAATTTTCTGCCAGGAACCATCTGTCAGTTCTAGCCAAAACCCAGGCACTCTTTTATTATCAGGACGCTCATTTTCTCAGGTGGAATTACCATTGCAGGGTTCTCAGTTCAAGACATTTAAACACAGCTAACCTAATCACTCTGCATTTCTAAGAATGGATCTATGGCCCAGGCTAGCAAAGGAAGGTTTTCTAGTCTAAGCCAGAGTGGTTGGGTTGGGGTGGACACAGGGACTGTGCCTATCTGAGAAAGTAGTCAACAGAGAAAAAGCAGAACTGAGAGAACGGGAGAAAGCAATTTCAGAAGACATTACTTCAGCTCCTGGATCAGATGGCACTTAATGGCCTGCTGAACGTCTGGACTTTCAGTTATGGAAACCAATACAACTCCTTTCTTCGTAAAGCCAGTGTAAGCTGGATTTCTGATCCTTGCAGATTCCTGAATACATTTACTTACCTTCATACTGCTTTTTTACTGTGTTTCCTATATCTGCAAATTTCCGGTCTTCAAATATTAAGAACTCATGCTGTCTTGACAGAGCTGTCAACTCCTTCATCACATCCAGAGTAAAATCATCCAAAATGTCTACATGAGTCTTGAGCATGCAGATGCTGGGCCCCAAGGCATCTGCTAGCTGTAACAGCTCCCTGGCCTCTGAAACATCAGCAGATAGACACAGGTTGGTCTCCTTCTTCTGCATAAGCCTGAGAAGCTTTGATGCAACCGGGTGGATCCCAGGCAGCTCTGCACGTGCAGCAAAGCTGAGTTCTTCAGGTGCTTTCTTTACAGTAAGGAGAGAGCCATTCTGATGAGTGGCCATAAAGACATTCTCCTGAATGAATCGATTCACTCTCCCGACCGTCTCAGCATCAATTTTTTGCTGCTGCCTGAGAATCTCCAGCATTGTGGACAATGTACATACTGAGTGGAGGCGGATCCCATGGGCCTGCAACTTGTCCCTGCCACCCTGCTCCCGGTCCAGGAGCACTATGGCATCAGTGACCTTCAGGCCCTCCTTCTGCAGAGCCTCAACGGTTTCCAGAACACTAGCTCCACTGGTGACCACATCTTCAATGACTAGACAGGTTTCTCCAGGATTAAGAGCTCCTTCTACAAGGCGCTTAGTACCTAGAAAAGATAAAAAGGTGTTCATTCTAATTTTAAACAGGGTGTGGTGGTGCAGGCCTGTAACTCCAGCACTAGGGAGGTTGAGGTAGGAGGATCGTTGTCAAGGCCATTCTGGGTTACATACTGAACTCAGAGCCAGCCTAAGCTACACAGTGAGACACTGTCTCAAAACAAACAAACAAACAAACCAATTTTATATGCATCCAACTCAACATTTATCTTACAGTATAAATTTGCTATGTACTTAAGAAAGGGTGAATGATCTATGAGTACATCTTTTCTGATCATCTACTTTTGTTTCTCTTGACTCAATATGCCATGACTAATTTGCTCAGTGGCTCTATATCCCCAAATTGCCAGTTATGTACAGAATATAGTATAATATCTTGCAGTGTAACTACTACTTGATGTGTTTATGATTAAATTTCCAAATACTGGGGTTTTAAAAGCAAAAATCACCTACATTTAATAGCTACAAAATAGAATAACTGAGGATCATCCATAAAATTGTTCTTTTCCATCTTCAAGCTATTTCAAGTTTATTACTTAGATTCAGCTCAACAAACTTCTGAAAATACAGAGCGATATCTCAGTTCATGAATGTCTGCAAAAATTCAGTTCACAAACAAAAGCATCTGGCAAAATTCTTCTTGCCTTCGTAAACTCCACAGTGAGCGACAAACACTATCACAGTCATCTTCCCCCACCAAACACAAAGGCAGCCATCTTTGCCAAAAATGTAAAACAAATTAAGTTCATAAACTGACATACTACTGTGAATTCAAGTCAGGCAAAGTGGTACACACCTGTAATTCCAGCACTCAGAAGGAGGAGACAGGAGGATCACCAGAAATTCTATGCCAGCCTGGGCTACATAGTCATCAAGGCCAGCCTGAACTACAAAGTGAAACTCTGTCTCAAAAATAAACTACAAAGGACTTTGGGGAAAATAGCAGAGTGGTGAACAACAACTCAGTCTGAAACTCAAAATCCAGACACTGGAAAATAATGTGTGGGGGTTAGGGAGGAGAGAAAGGAGTAAACCCCCAGGAACCAAGAAGGATCCGACAGGAAAACTAAAACCCACAGAGAAATTGAAGAGACAGAACACAACATGAAGAAAGGAAGGGACGTCCTACACTTTCTCCCCAGCCCCTGGCTTAAGGCTCACATGAGAGACTGGATCTACAGAGACTAAGTAAAAGCTGGGGATCCCAGAGGGCTTTAGGGAGAAGGGTGGTGGTGGAACAGACAAGCGGGTTCTATGAGCTGCAGGGACAATGCAGGATTCTGCCCCCACATGAGTCCTTCAACAGCCAACAGCTGGACTCCAGCCCAAGAACCCACCACTTCCCTGGACAGAGTGCTGTTCCCAGGAGGGGTTGACTCTTAGAGCCTAGAACTCAGAGCAGCTTCAGGACAGCTTCATTTCAATGCTCCCAGTGCTACATTCCCACAGTGACAGGTGAGAGTCAGCCACAGGAGATAGACATAGTCAGAAAGTGAGGATCAGGTTGAAAAGGACCCACCGCTGGGCTCGAGGTAAAGGACACAGGCTTTGCTCCCATGGCCAGAGGCCAGCTCAGCCTAGGTTTCACTGGATTTGAAAGTCAAGGCACTGGCACCCTCGCCCTTAGTGGCTGCAGGCAATATGGATCTGGGGTCTGACTGCCTCATCTACCAGCATAAGCAAGGACACATCTTCACCTGGACGCTGCCCCAAAATTGGGCATCCTGGAAGAAAACCACACATTGAAAATCACAGAGGAATTTGTTTTGTTTTGCAAATGTGTGCAGTTTTTGGTTTGTTTTCTTTTCTTTCCCTTTTCTTCTTCACCAGTTTATTGGGCTTTGGGGAATTTTTTGTCCTGCCCAGCTTTTATATCTTTTTATTTTTCTTTATTCTTTTTTTTTGGTACCGGGGATTGAACTTGTGTCCTTGTGCTTGCAAGGCAGGCCACCAAACTGCTGAGCTAAATCCCCGGCCCTATTTTTCTTTATTCTTATTCCCCTGCCTTTTAATTTTTCTCGCTTTAATTATTTCACTCTTTTTACTCTCACATAATTTTTTTCTCCTTCTTTTACTTTTACCTTCTATTACTCATGAATTTTTTTCTCTTACCCTTACCTAATTCTATAAACACCCTTCCACAGCCTGGGCTACATAGTACATTCAAGATCAGCCTGAACTACACAGCAAGACATTGTCTCAAAAACAAAAACAACAACAACAACGCTCCTCAGCTGCTCAGATACCATAAAAGCAAGAAAAGAACGTGAAAAATTGATGCAATAGCTGCTAGGTGATGCAGCGAAGACAACTAAGAGTAACTCCCTACAATGAATGTAATCATTATGTACTACAAACATGTACTAAAAAAAAAAAATCCTGGGGAAAATTAAAACAAAATTACATATTCACATACATTATAAGGAAAATATTCTGCAATGTGAATCATTACCACAATCTTAAGAATTATATAATACGTGACTAAATTATTTCTCTATCCTCAAACTCTACTAGAGAATATTGTCAGTTAATCTACAAAATGTAAATAACTCAGGCTGTAGACTTTATGGACTTGTTTTTGTATTTTCCATTACAATTTATCTTATTTTGAAGATAAATTTGAAATGACAGCATTTTGCCCACCTTTTGAGCTTTATCACTCTGACCTTTCACAATTCTTTTAATTCCTTTTCTCCCTTTGAATAATTATCAAATTTAACTGAATCTACTTAGATTAAAATGCAATACAAAATGCAATACTAAATAAATGCAATACTGAGAGCACAGATATGCTAATAAATGAATGATTTCATTCTAGAAACACATTTAAGGAAATGGAAATACTTTCCCTAGCCAGGCATGGTGGTACACACTTGTAGTCCCAGCACTGGGGAAGTGGAGGCAGGAGGATCACTAATAGTTTGAGGTCACCCTGGGCTACAGAGTGAGTCCACAGCTAGCCCAGACCCACAGTGTGACTCTGTTTCAAAAAAAGAAAAAAAAATTTTTTTATAGGCAGAGACTCAGATAATTTCTTTTTTAGCTCAAAAAATTTAACATTGTGTCTTCAAGCAGCAAAAACTCAACTAAACATTTTATTTTTACAATGGCAATCAAAAACAAAAGTATATATGCACTAAACAGCCACAAATACAGAGCCTCATCACTTAATTCATGACCAATCTCGTTTCATCTGTATTCTCATTCATGCCCTCCTCCCTAAAGTTTTATAAACAAATCCCAGATATCCTATGATTTACCATAAAGATTTTGAGATTGCATCCATGTCGTTAAAATTATCGTACTAACATAAATAGTTAAATCCTCAATATCCTTAATAAATATGAAGTTCATTCCAATTATTTTTAGGTTGACTTTCAGGTTTTAAAGCAAACCCAACGAATAGCTATTGGTATGGAACCATAAAAAGATATCTTCATGAGGCGTTTTCATGAGAGGTACCTGATTGAGAGTACTATGGTTCACACAATGCTCTTGGTGAACTCCAAATATGAAAGGATGTGCTCTTAGGGTATGTGCTCATGAGCGAAAGGCCAAACAAATGCTGGGGTTTCAGACAGGGTGCAAAAAAAGCACTTCTTCACTTCGTTGCCTAAGCAATACAAAGCATATTAGCCCTAGACTGTAAAAAGCAGTGATTTATATCAACAATTAACAAATTCCACAGGAGGTAACTTAAAAGACCTAGATGAATATTAACATGACTCTAGTAAAACATCAGTGCAAAAAGAAAATATTCAAACAGATTACACATTAACAGAATGCTTATGCTACTTTTACCATAATCCTTTGTTTCTTTCCTTCTAATAAGCATTGGGATTTGATGGGTCGAGCAGATAACTGTAGCCAGTGGCAAAGCTGTGTAAGGTACTCCACATACAGTGTCAAAACTGATCCCTTCATTTTGGGCTGTTTGGAATAAAATATCTGCAACCTGTAAAAAAAGGAACACAAACTACCTCTTATCAACTGATACTTCTTAAATCAATTTTTCAGTAGTAAACCCTTAGAAATTCACTTTCTCTATACAGAGGAAACACACCATAACAAGATTCTGGGTGGTGAGAAGTTGCCAGTCCAATCACCTCAATGATTGAATGCTTCAATCCTTTTTTTAATGACTGTCCATGGTGGGTGACCAACAAACAGAAATCCTTAAATGTATGGACAGAACATACATATTCTCTCTTTTTGGTGGGGAGGCTACACTGAGGACTGGATCCTGTGAATGCTGAGCTATATTCCCTGCCCCTTTTAATTCTGAGACAGGATCTTGCTAGACTGCTCAAGCTACCCTCCTGCCTCAATCTCCCAAGTAGTTAAAATTACATGCACGTGCCACCATGCCCAGCCAAAATTTACATCTTCTATAGAACTTCCTGTTCTATCTGGGATAATTTTTTCCAAACTATCTGTTTATTCTAGGAAGATGACGATGTTCCATATTTATAGTGTCCAATATGGTACCACTAGCCACATATGACTATTTGAATTTAAAAATTGGTAACACTGCCTGTAATTTCAACACTCGGAAGTAGAAGGATCACACCCAAATCACAATGTTTAATATTCACATGTCTTGTAGCTACCTTTCTGAACAGCACATTTAAATCTGCTCAAAGTGTGGTTTGCAATTTTGGCTTGCAGCTTGCTAGAAATGCAAAATCTCTTGCCTGGTGTGGTGGGTGAGTGCCTGTAATCTCAGCACTCAGGAGGCTGAGGCAGGAGGATCACTGTGAGTTTAAGACTAGCCTGGACTACATAGTAAGTTCCAGGCCAGTCTCAAATACATAGTGAGACCCTGTCTCAAAAAAACCAAAAACCAAACAACAACAACAACAAAATTAAAATGCAAAATTAAAAAAAATTAAATGCACAATCTCAAGGCCCTATCTCAGAACACCTGAACCCAATTCCACAGTTTAACAAAATTCCCAGGTGTTTCACATATACTCAAGGTTTGAGAAGCACCATGCGAGAAACCTGACTGCTACAGACTTTACTACTTATACTGACCAAAAAAGCTGGTTCCTTGATGCTCCCCACCTGGCCTTAATTCTTACTCCTGGGCACACAATGCAAAATCGAATCCCTTTTAATAAGCAACAGATTTTCCAAAATTTCATCCGCTACTAAACTCTTCACCCACCTCATCCTTTCTTCCTTATCTCTCACTTTCTGGGGTCTAAATACACGCGACTGAAGCCGGTTGTGGCGGCGCACGCCTGTAATCCCAGCACTCAGGTGACTGAGGCAGGAGGATTACCGCGAGCTGAGGCCAGCCTGAGCTACAGAGTGAAACCCTGTCTCAAAAAAGGAGGGGGAAGGGTACAGGGGACAAGGGAGAGGGGAGGAGAAAGAGAGAGAGGAACTAGACAGGAGTTCTCTATTCAAACTGGGTTTCCCAACTCCTGCAAAGCACGTGTCAAAGTCACTCAGTCAACTATTCCCAAAACCCAACGACCTCTGGCCTCCGTGCTTCTCAAACCTACTCCCCAGGGCGACAGCAGGGTGGGCTTGGCTCTCCATTCTTCGCCCACAGCCCAAGACCCGTCACCTCCCGCCATCTGTAGGTCCCCTTCAAGCCACCCAGGCTGTCCTTCCCCTTCGAGCTGGCACCTGACTGAGAAGACGCGGTTGAGATATGATGCCCCGCAGATCGATGTAAACTGGGGAGGAGAGCCCGCTCTTCAGCACGAAGTTCCCAAACTTGAAAGCCTGCACATCGTACAGGGCCGTCACCAGACGTTCTAAAGCAGCGCCCGCGGCCGCCATGCTTGGGCGCTCCCAGTCCGGAAGAGCGCGCCCTCTGGCGACGTGACGTCACAGGAGGTCCCGGCCCTTCCACCGCCCCTTCCGGCAGGGACCCTGCGCCTGCTTCCGCGCAACCTGGGGTCTCTGGGCCTGAAGCCGGGACTCCTGGGCTGGCTCTGCCAGGAGCGTTTGTGTGGACTCTGCCCAGTTTTTCTAGCTCAGTGTCCCCTCAATCATTCTATTAGTTATTGCTACTCCTTGACTTCACGCGCCAGCTATTAACCCCGGTTACCCTCTCCCAAGGCTATAGACGTCGGATGTTAACTTCACAGCAGCGCAGACCCCGAAGTAATTGGCACGCGACAACTCAAAAGCTCTGAACACATCATTGTTCCTGATCTCTGTCTGCTGCTGGGCGCTGCGTGCAGGAGGGAGAGGCGATGAGGCAGGGAAACAGGAGAGTTAGGGGACCGAATTGATCGGTGACCGGTGACTGGCTTCTCCGGGAGGGTGATGCTGCTGGCCAGCCTGAAAACAAACGTAGGCCTGTCCGGTTTAAAAATAAATCCTGCAGAGAGGTTCTCCATTCGGGGTGGAAGACAATACCTTGGCCTAGTTTAAGGAAAATAGCCCATTAAAACCACAGGGTCCATGATACTAATTCATCAAACTGATTCTGAATTTATGTCTATATTCTTATGTGTGTTTTCTCTGAGGAGATGGTGCTGAACGACCAATGCGAAAAGCCTGCGCTTTTTGTTTTTGATGTACTGGGGGTTGAACCCAGGACCTCACACAGGCTAGGCAAGCGCGCTGAACTCCCCAGCTCAGGTGGATGCTTCTGATACTTAATTTCTCATTATAAGTGAATGCAGTAGCTGGGCGTGGTGGAGCACACCTGTGATCCCAGCGCTCAGGAGGCTGAGGGGGGAGGATTGCCGAGAGTGTGAGGCCAACCTTGACTACATAGTGAGACCCTGTCTTAAAAGTAAATGAATGTCACCAGATTGGGGCTGAGATGAGGACTTAACCTACTCTAAGCACAGAATGTTTGGGGTTCGCTAACTTCTGAAGTGAAATAACAATCTTTAAGACCAATTAGAGGGAAGGGAAGCGTTAACTAGACAGAGCTTTTCGTAGGCACTCACAGAAATGGAACGCCTTATGAGCTGGAGTTGGATGTACTGTATTTATGGGGCCTGGGAGGCATTCTCAAGATGGACCCTGGAGGATGTGCATTCCCTCCTCGGCTTACCTGCCCATGTGGCAGGCTAAGTCAGTGTACAAACCATTTACAGTAATATGATTGAAGTTGAGGTCTGCTGTCCACTGTTGTTGCTTCCTTGATGGAGGAAGCACAATTTGCAGGTGAAAAGGACAGGTCCGGAACCCCATCGACAAGCTTACTGTGTCTTTAAGAACTTTAGGAATTTCTCTTTTTTTTTTTAGTAAGTTTCCTGGAAGGGAAAAAAGCTTGAGTAACTTTTGTGTCCTGGAGCTGCGCGCGCGCGAGTATGTGTGTGTATGTGTGTGTGTGTGTGTGTGTGTGTGTGTATTTAAGTCCACTTTTTAAAATGCCAATTTCCTAATCTGCTTTTTGCCTATTTTTTAAAAAAAATATTTCTTTTATCCTACTTCAAAACCTCGATAAAACAGAAGGCAAGTGCTGAAATATTTTTGTTCCTATTGGCAAAGTAAGCTACTGAAAACATTTTACCCAGGTGTGGTGGTGTACTCACGTAATCCCCAGCACTCAAGAGTGGCTGAGGCAGGAGGATTGCCCGGAGTTTGAGGCCAGCCTCCACTACAAAGTGAGTTCAAGGACCCCTTGCAATACATAGCAAGACTGTGTCTCCAAAACAAAAGAAAATTAAACAAATTTCAATCTTTAACACTCTAGCTAATCGGGGGTGAACTATGGATTGCCTCATTTGCACCAGGGTGGCATTTGCAGACTTTCAAAATCTGATCAGGTCTACATGGGCTACCCCAGGTGAACATGCCAGGATCCATAATGTGTGGAATGCAGCCCAGAAGGTCTGCCGACTTTGAGCAGTGTTACCAGGTAGAACACCGAAACATTGTCCACAACAGACCTGAAGCTTCCTCAGATAGCAAAGTGCCTTATTCCGTTTCTTTAGGGCACAAAATTATTTTCTTTCTTAAAAGCTGGGTGAAAGTGTTGTAATAATAATGTGATATGTTTGGCTCATCGAAGGCTTCCACATATTTGGGGGAAGAAAAAAATTACTCTTTTCTTTGAGCAAAGAATTTAATTAAAAAAGACAACCAGAAATAATATCTTTAGTATAGTATATTTATAGGAATGCATAACATGAGATGTACATTCTGAAGTTTCATTCGTAACATAACATTTACTGTAGTAATAATAACAAGACAGCAGATCATCACTTTACATTACACATGAATGAGTGTGACTTACAAATAAAATATTTACAACCTACCTTTACAAAACGACATTGTGTGCATACAAAATGAACAACTGCAGAAAAAATTTAAAAATAATAAAACAACCAAGAACCCAGAAGATACACTTAAGGCAGACCAGCAAGACACTGAAATAATTAAGGCTGTGGAATTCTTCTGCACCTTGAAAATATAGAGCTATTTGTCAATACTGTGGAGTGTTTTTAAATCAAGTGTTACAATCCTGATGGAACTATGACTTATATGTATATGTATCGTGGTCCCTATGGGGAAACCTGTCCACTATGGATGAGGCCCTTTATCTGAATGGTCAGAGAAGTCCGCCAAAAATTCGCAAAAGATGTGGGGGGAGGTCACTCAAAACCAAGAGGTGCCAAGGTAGTTGGCAAAGCAACTATGAATAATTCAAATATAAAGAGACCTCTGAGTCTAGGTGAACAAATAGCCTAAATGATGGTCCCACTGTTTCACATTTTGTTAGTTGGCTCTGCGGACTTCAAAGGACAGTAAATGCCTATTGAGCAGAGTTTGTCTTCACAAATTAGCCCTAATGGTTTTGAATGGCCCTGAATGGTTTTCCAATAAAAACACTGTCCTACCTAGGCTGTCTGCAAATGGATAGATTTCTGCATATGAGCAATAACATATACATATATATTATACACTATGTACATGTACAGATGTACACATATCTATATTTTCCAACAGTTTGCACTTAGATCACTACTGTTCTCCAAATAGGATCTCATTGTCAAGAGTATGTTTAGCTTTTTCACAGTCTTCATATTTGTCCTACCACTAGTTTTACTCACCTTCCCCATAGAGTAAGCTGAAGTTTTAGCAGAAATAAAAGCACCAGGGTGAAAAAAAAAATCAAACATAAAAATGACAGATATGGCTTAAGTTAGAAAGAGAAGATATAAGATATACGTTTTGTGAGCTTCAAATTCATAGCCACAGTCTATGAGGTCATGGTAACAGTCTCCAGAGTACCCCAGAATGTGGGTTTGGTTACTGATGGGAGTCGGGGATTGATGGGATTTCTGCACTGCTATCCCTGGGCTAGCAAATCCACCTGGTTAGATTATATTTCAGAAGTTGGCATTCCAAAAATTGGTATTTGCATTTTTTCTATCACTCCCTTTTCTCTGCTAACCTCACTTTGTGAAAAAAGTTATCTGACTAAACTGTCATTTTGATCATTTGAATAATAACTACAGCTGACCACATTTTAGAATTTCTCCACAAACAGGCTGATAGGAAATAGCAATAGCCTGTGAGTATTAAATTTAGACTTTCCATAAATATCCTTTAAAAATGAAACATTACCTCAGAGTTATTGTTTTTTCCTCTCCTCTAACTTTATTCAGTATATACATTGAAAATAAGGAAGAAATCTGTTCATAAAAAATATGGTCCTATGAGACTTCTGTGTAGATTTTTCAAGTGAACAACAAGAAACATGTTTTCTTATTAAAAACATCTAGTGCTATGGACATATTTCAGCCCTTTTTAACCCTCTAGAATTAATGAAACAACTTTTGAGAGCTTTATTGTTTTCAGAAAATAAATATTAAATAGAGTTCTTTTTATTGAGGGAGCACGTTCTGTTTTCCCTAAGCCTATCCCTGGCCTAATCACTAATTCCCAGAAGAGCTCTAGATATTAAGAAGCAAAGAAAGCTCATGATGCAGTTTTACAAATAAATCCACTAAATGCTCACACTCTGTGTTTGCCTGGCTCAGACTCCACAGGGATGCTAGCCAGAAGAGAAAGGACTACAGTCTATATTCCTCAAAACCCACCCAGTACAGTTCATACAATTCAAGGGCTGTCCCGAATAAGGGGGTGGTGAGTCTGCATTCTTGCCCTGCTAGAGATACTTTATTTTCGAAATATTTCCTCTGTCAAATGCATGAAAGTTTTAGTTGATTCACCATTTAGTTTATATATTTGTTCCCTCATATTCTCGCAAGTCTAAATTTCCATGTTCTTCCATATAGGCATAAAAACAGTAATGACTGACTCACAGGCTATATCAAATCACGGAGGTGATGGAATAACAAATATGGCATTCCTGAAAGACCCAACTGTCCCCCCAAAATGGATCCAAGTGTTCCCTCCAAAAACCTACAGCCAATTAATTCATTTCTATGCCCGCACACCTATCTTGCCTCTTCTGATAGATTCTTGGGAGACTAAACATGTGAATGATGATATGGGAAGATACAGTGTCCTCACTTCTGCTATCTTAGTGAGGAAATTGGCTGTTTGGGTTCTTCTCTGTCCATTTTTCCAGAGCATGAAGCTTGAGAAACGAAAGTAATTTTGCATCTTAATCTTCCCATCTCCCATAAGAAATAGAGGAGAAAACAGTCTATGGACATGAGACTTCATTGGCTCTCCTAATTTTTGTCTGTAGACAAGCTTTTAAATGACCGAAATTATAGGGTAAGACCAAATAACATTTAGACAAACAGCACATACCACCTCCAATAGAAGCACTGTATAGGATTTAACCTCATGAGTTTGTAAATGGTATCTAAAGACAAGAACCTTGAAAACCTGGAATGTTCAAAGTTACTATCAATAAAATTCTTAGCACTGGCAGTGTGTAGCAC